TCGGGCATGAAGGATCTGTTTTTTACCGTTCCAATATTTTTTGGGCTATGTAAAAGTAAGTAAAAATGGGATAATGGTGTAGACAATTTTCCGAATTTTTATACGGTTTCCTCTTTCCGTGAATCGATGTTCGGTTTTTCACCGTTCGAACAATTTGATAACTGTTTATAAATAGGCCAGAGCAAACAAGAGTGATACAAATTTTCCGGCTTAAATTATCATTCGCTTTTCCTCTTTAATGTCGTGTAGGATTCCTAAAAATAAATCCCATCAAATCACCTTTACCCTCCGTCGTAAACCTATGACGTCTTGTCCTACAGTAACTTTCAATAATACTCCACTTATTCCTGTTGAACAAATCCGCTACTTAGGACTCCATTTGGATAAACGTCTTACTTGGAATCCTCATACTAGACTGAAACGACAAGAAACTGCTCGACGTTTCCGACTGCTCCAACACTTACTAGACAAACGCTCCAAACTTTCTATTAATTACAAAAGACTTATCTACATAACTATAATAAGACCTATATGGACATACGGAGTTGAGCTTTGGGGCTCCACCAAACCATCGAATTCCTATCGTATCCAATCCTTACAATCCAAAATCCTCCGTAAAATCCTTAATGCTCCATACTTTGTCACAAATAAAACCATTCATAAAGACCTTAATGTAGAATATGTCGCTGATTTAGCTCGAGCCAGATATCTATCCTTTCATGATAAACTTCAGTCCCATCCAAATCCGCTTGTTTCTACTCTTGCTTCTTTCTCGATTCCTGATAATCCTCCTAGGCGTCTGAAAAGGAGATGGCCTCGTGATCTTCTTACTTAAAATTATTTAGAGAGTGCTACCACTGGGTAGTAACTCTTCAAGCCTGTACATGCCATTATTTATATATGCGCATATTTACTTCTGGTATTTGTATACAGTTGTAAATTCCATTAAATAAAAAAAAAAAAAAAAAAATTCGTGTAGGAATGCTCGATTTTTCACTGTTGCAACAGTTTTCCAATTATGTAGATGTAGGCGAAAATGGAGAATCGGTGTTGAAAATTTTCCAAATTTTTTGCAGTTTTCGTCGGATTTACATAGTCGGAAAATTGTTGGAACGGTGAAAACCTGATCTTTCATTTCCGAGATAAAAGAGAAAAAGCATCGAAAATTAGGAAAATGTTACATTTTAAACCGGCGTTATTGTCATAGAAAGTGCTCCCAATAACTAAAAGTAAATAGAAAATGTTTTATACTTGTTCTCCTTTAAGCGTATCTCTAAACAGAGGAAAATCGAGTATAATCGATTTATTGATTACGATTAGGCGATTATAGTGATTTTTGATTACACGATTGTGATCAGGTGTAATCGTTTCATAGTTTTGATATATTTATGATGCTATTGTATCAAGTATAAAATTGGCGTTGTCATTAAGTTTGGTTTTCAGTTGTAATCATTGATTGCCCATCTCTGGTTGCAGATAATCAACTTTTAGAAAAGTCTCTATTAATCCACAAGTTATTTTATTAAATAGACAAAGTTTGTCGACCTCCAGATTGAAACGCCTCAACTCCGAGAATTTTCGTAAATAAAATATTTTTTGGTCACGATGAGATGAAGCTATTTACGAAGTTTTAGCCGGATGTTAATAATTTGATAAAAAGGGGTCTGTACAACGGACTAGAAGTCGCAGAGATCAAGAAGCGTAAGAAAAAAAAAAGTTTTATTGCCGAATATTAAAACTCTTGCTTAATTAGAAATTTCTCCCTAATATATTTGTGTACAGTGTGTCTGTGTGTATTTATTTGGCAATAATGGGAAATTATTGCGATCGTGAAAATTTTCATCTCTGAGTTTTCAGCGTTAATATACGTTTTGAGGTTGACCTGAGTCTAAATAACAAAGTCCCACAAAATGGTCTGTGTGTTGTGTGCATGTGAAATCTTACTCAAAAACGAAAAGTCCTATGAAAGTGAAATTGGTTATTAGGGATCGAGGAGGAAGCAAGGTTTGAAACGAGAGGATTCGGATGGTTCTGCAGTTTGTTATGGAAGGACAGGTATCTGGATTGGGCCAAATCGGAAACATATGGAACATTAAGGTCTTTATGGATGATTTTATTTGTGACAAAGTAAGGAGCGTTGAGGATTTTACGAAGGATTTTGGATTGTAAGGATTGGATACGAGAGGAATTCGATGGTTTAGTGGAGCCCCAAAGCTCAATTCCGTAAGTCCAAATAGGTCTTATTATTGTCATATATATGAGTAGTTTATAATTGATTGAAAGCTTAGAGCGTTTGTCTAGTAAGTGCTGCAGTAGTCGAAAACGTCGGGCGGTTTCTAGTCGTTTCAGTCTGGTATGGGGGTTCCAAGTGAGTCGTTTGTCAAGGTGGAGTCCTAAGTATCGGATTTGTTCGACAGGGATAAGAGGGCTATTGTTGAAGGATACTGTAGGACAGGAAGTCATAGGTTTACGACGAAGAGTGAAGGTAATTTGATGGGATTTATTGGAATTTATTTTAGTCCTCCAGTTTTGACACCATTTTTCAAGACTTGTGATGTGTGATTGAAGAGTTTGAGGTGCAATAGATGGATCGTTATTAACTGATAGGATACACGTGTCATCGGCATAGGTGGTGATAACAGTGTTGGATTGGGTGTATGTGGGATGTCAGCTGGATAAATTGTGTAAAGGATAGGACCTGGGATACTACCTTGAGGAAGACCGGCAGACTGAGTAAAAAGAGATGAAAAAACATTGTTATGATTGACTTTGTAGTATCTGTCAGTAAGGTAGGAACGGATAATGAGGAAGTATGTAGGTGGTAGGACTTTTCGGAGTTTGTACATTGTGCCAGACTCGATCAAACGCCTGTTCAACGTCGAGAGAGACTCCCGTACAGTACATTCCGCGTTCCAATGCAGAGGAGACTACATCTACCACACGATGGCATTGCTAAATAGTGAAGTGGGATGTGCGGAATCCAAATTGGTGATCTGGGATAATGTGTTTAGAGTCTAGGATGGGATACAGGCGACCGTTGATATAATAAATTGGAATTTTTTTTATTTTATTGGTATAAATGATTTGTTAGGTGTAAGCTTTTAGTTTTAGCTCGGTTAAAAGTGCACTTCGAAAATTTCATAATAGTCCAACATTGCTAGAAAATCATTTCTATTAAAAGTAGAGCGGTAAGTGAAAGTTTTGTGTTATGTGCACCAGATTTTTTTTTATTATGATTTTCGTTATTTTCTAAAAATCAACAAATTAAATAGTGTGACACCTGTTAGATAGTTATTAACATTTAGTTGAATCTTCATTTTTTTCCTACCATCTCCACTGAGCCTCCGACAAGTTTGTTGCGGAAAATACCATCAATAAGCTCATCATTCAGAGTTTAGGAACTTGTCCAAAATCCCAACCACCAGATTAATACAAGAAAGTTAAAATATTATTAAAATAAAAAGTGTTCTATGCGTAAAAAATAATTTTCAGTTTTAATTATTTAAAAAGTAATTTTTAAGATTAAGCATTCGGCTAAAATTAAAAATAAATTAAAAGGTTATAAATTTCAAGCTGGAAAAATGGCAAACTTTATGCATTAAACGTTTCATTCGTTTCCAGACTTGTCATTAAACGAATTGAATCCGTTTTAAAATGAATAAGTCTGTTATCAAACGAATATGTCTTACACCATGAATTGTTGCGTTGTTCTATGAACTACTTTTTTTCAACGCCCATCTCAATACAAGTCTGAGCCGAACAGCTCACGTGCCTATTCCCGATTAAAGCTAACAAGTTATTTAAATTAGTATTTATTTAGACCTTCAAATAAATACTTTTATTTAAATAATTTTTTTTTTATCTTTAACTGTTTATCCGTACCTGTCATGGTAATGACAATCAGCAGGTGAGTTGTTGCCATGATGAGGTTGGCATTACAGGCATGAGGAAGGATAGTACCCAGCAGCACCTCTTCCTGGTCATTACTTTGATTTAGGTGAGGAGATCTCTCATCCAGCTCCTTTTTAGTCTCCTCCTGATGGGCATGTCAGTCGTAGCCATGTCGGTTATAAGTCTGTTTGTGTGTCCGTGTAGTTTGAGATGAAAACGAGAGTAGAGAGTACGTGTGTAGTGATCTATAGTTGGTTGTCGTAAGTCGTTATGTAAAGTTTTGTTGTTGACGTACCAGGGAGCTCCTGTTATAAGTCGTAAAATTTTGGATTGAAATGACTGTAGTTTTTGTAAGTGTGTCTTTTTTGCCGAGCCGTAAATCTGAGAGGCGTATGTCCGGATGGGTTTGAGTAGGTAAGTGTATATATTTAGTTTTTGTCGAATTTTCAATTTTGATTTAGAAAAAAGTGAGTACAGTATTTTCAGTCGCTTGTTTAAGGTCTGTCGTTTCATTTTGACGTGTGGGCCCCAGGTCATCCTTCTGTCGAATATTAGTCCCAGGTAACGTACTGTGTTTGTCTGAGGAATTTGGTTCTCTCCTATATAAACTGGTGGGCACGTTTCTCGTCGAAGTGTAAATATTTAACTTCACTAAATAAAACTTTTTAAATAAGTTTATGAATAAAGTTAATTTTATTTCTTATTTAACAAATACTTTTATTTAGAAGAAAATACAAAGTGATAATAATATTATTTATTGCACCTATTATAAAATCAACTACGTTATTATTAATAAGAAAAATATTTATTTCATGTAAAATCTCTTCTATATTTCGGTCCATGTTGTGGTATTCGAGGACAGTCACTCACCTATCGATTTGTAATTCATTAAATTTCAACTTTGTAGATTTCTTCGATTTAGGGATCTTTTATTACGTTATTGAAGACGTAGTTTAAAAACTATCGATTTTAAAATCACTTTCTTATTTATTTATTATTGATTAATTTCAACAATTTAGATTTGAATGGACTATGGGACTGTTATTATGTTATCGGAGTCTTTTGAAATTATTATCGATTTTATGATAACCTCTTCCCTTGTCTATTGTGTTAGATGTTTAGCATAAATTATTTTAAGTCGGTGTGTTGTGTTTGTGATTTATTATTATTTTATATATCCCATCCATTTTATTTCCAACATCCCATAAATTAGAATTTGTTTTATTTATACTTTTAAAGTACTATTAGTAATAGTTGCATTAATACTTCTTTCTTTTTATTTTCGTAGTGTTACAGAATAGATGTTGAAAATATCTTCAATTTCAATTGTTAGTAATATAATAGTTTCTTTTAATTTAATATAAGATTCTCTTAATCATAGAGTCATATAATAGAACAAATCCTGTACAATACAGTTATAAATAATTACATAATCGGAATCTGTTTTAATAATTTGTGTCACAGTTTAGGCTAGTCATAAAAAATATAATTAGTGTGATTATTAATGCTTTTAGGTATGCCCGCAAATAGCGATAAGATGGAAACTTTGCAGATTTAGTAAAAAAAATATAAAATATAAAGATAACGTGGAATAAAAAAAAGTGTAAATAATTTTGTTTGTAGTTAATTTTAACTTTAACATGAACAAATAGTACCTAGATCATTTTTTGAATATTTTTTATTTAAGTTACAAATAACAAATACAACTTTATCCGCTATTTCATACTTTTATATGTATTACTTTATTTGTAATCGGGTCAAATTTTCGATATGCGGTTTTCGACGGATCTATACGTTTTAGAGCCTCCTGAGTCCGAAAAACACATTTTTAGCCATTGGTCTGTCTGTCTGTCTGTCTCTGCCAAGATTTTCTCAGGTACTACTGAACCGATTTTGTTGTTTTTTTTCTATTTTGTAGGGTTTTGACTACTGATGCCTGTGACAGAAATTCGGTGCTCCATGCGCAATAGCTTGCGCGCAATAAATGAAAAACATGTTTTTCTATAGACTAGTGCGAAAACGGCTCTAACGATTTTGATGAAACTTTTCTATAATGTTCTAATCATTGTCTTGTCAATTTTCATATATAGACTAAATTCCCCCAAAAAATCAGGAAAAAAAGTTATAAAGAGAAGAAAAATGTTATGGGGCCTAACTCCCCAAGTACATATTATGCGCTCAAAGCCCCTCTAAAAACAGTCAATGACCCCACGGGTCTCAGATGTTATCAGCAGGGAATAAAGATATTATTTTATTAATTGAACACTTTTACAGTGAGGCTGAACTCTGTCGTATATACTGCTTCATACAATGCTCCTTCAGAGCACTTAATAGTGTAATGACTAGTATCTTACTTTACAATACCAAATTGTCAGGTTCAGTACCGGGTTTTCATCATTCTATTTTTTTTATATTAAATATTATACTTTTAGATTTATATAAATATAAATTATGGCCTTGTATAATATAATTTTAAAACAATTAAATTAACATCTGGGTTAATTGCATTTTTCGTTAAATAATAATAATTAATTATTTTAATAACAAAACAGCCCCAGAACATTGTAAATTTAATTCATGAGTTTGAGGTTGTTTTCCTTTTGTTTAATGTTTATAGTAATATTTTATTTTTCTCATTCATTATTATTTTGTATCAAGAGAAATAGTAATAATTTATTCTTTCATTTATTAATTTGATAGCATGTTCATTTCTGTTATTATTTTTAATATACACATAGATTTTCTGCTATTCCGTTTTTTTATACATATTTATCCTCGATGGATTTCCTTTTAATATTTTTTAAAGTTTTAAAATTAATTAGTTAATAAATCAATAACCAATGCCTATGGAATTGATAGAGCAGATTTGGTGGTTCATTTTTAAACGCCCGCTGCCTTCACAATGTACATATTCTGTTATAATCAACAAAAGATTAAAGGAACATTTTATTTTGTTCGTTGTGGCAGTGACTTATATTAGATTTAATTTTTTTAATATTATATACTAGTTTTACCCGGCCACGCGCTGGTGTGGCTTAGACTGGCTAAATGGAAAATAAAGAAAATAGAAAGCACATAAGAATGGATTGATATCAAAGGACATCTGTAATTTTTAAAAAGTTGGGAAACAAACTTTTCTGTAAAATGGCTTTAATTTAAACTAATCCTAATGTTTTTTTTTTCATGATTCAACTTGAACATTCGTAATCATCTGAGTGAATACACCTTTATTCTTAATCATCAGAAACAGTCTGAGTTGAACTTATAAAACTAAAATTGACTTTATCTTCGCTTTCTGAAAATGACAAAAAAACGTCCTTTGATATCAAGCCATTCATATATTTTCATATTTAATTTTTTTTTTTATATATATTTAATGTATTGTTTAATGTTCAACTATGTGTTGGTCATTTTATGGCAAGTAAAAATGTAAATGTTTGGTTGTTTAAACTCTTAAACTGTAAAAGTTCTTCACCCATTGCCTTGAAATTTTGGCTTAAACACGGGCCTGGTTTAATGTATCTACTATTATAAAATATAATGTGGAACCATACATATTTTACGATATTGTTTCAATGGTAAATATTTTCAAATATCAATCGAGGTAATGCACTGAAATTGCACTATAGCATACAACATATCGTTCGTGTGCATTAGAGCTGCCTTTCACCTTCCTCAAAATATTTCGCATACCCCTCCTAGGATAGTTGATTGCTTGCTTCTTCTTAATAACAACTTGATTAAATATATAGTTGTAAAAATTGTAGTGGAAAAATAAACCATTCTCATGAAAAAAAACCTACGGTAAACGGCACAACCTTATTCCAACACAATGTTAGAGAAAAGAATTTATAAAAAATAAAATAAACTGAAATCAATAAAAACTGATTTCTAAAAAGAACATTAACGGTGATAAGTATTACTCAAGAGTTAAATATTTTTAAATAATAGCAAATATAATATTTAAATGTATCATACTACTTCCAGAATACATTGGGAGGGAAATAAAAAATGAACATAAAGAGTATACAAATGACCTACATAAGAAGAATCATATCAATTCTTCAAATGATAATTTCAATTACTGTAGTAATTATAAAATTTTCGATTAATAAATAAAAAAAAAAAAGAAATGGCGTTTTCTGAAGCGAAAGCAGTAAATGTTTAAAACTCTATAACTCTGCAACGAATCGACCGATTTCAATGGTTTTTTTTTTTTTTTATTTTGTCGGCAAATCAGGAATCTTTCAAATAAATATGGGTATTATTAATAAAAAATTATGTACTTTTTTAGTTAGCGGCAAATAGAATATTGAATTCATCGTAACATTTTTCAGCTTGTTTTCGGGAAAGTATGTTATACACATAAATTAAAATGGTTTCAAGGGGAAGACTTTAGCCAAGTTTCGTTAAAATCTTTAAAGCCCTTTTGGCGCTACAGTTTATAGCGACACATTTTTTTTTTACATATAAAAAATTATCGTAAGACAGAAGTACTATGCCAGAAACCTTCCCAGGAGTGTACGGAACAACTTCCCAAAGTTTCATGGCGATCGGATGAATGGTTTAGTAATGCATAAAAGATAAACGGACAGACAGACAGACATTCATTTTATATATACTCCTTACTCCTCGGCGCTATAGTCCGCGTGGGACCTTGGCCTTTTTATTCATATAGATTCCTTTTTATATATAACGCATGACAGAATTATACTATTATTGTTAATTTGATCATAATGGATATATTAATAAAAATGGTCTGCATATGGTAATTAATGGATATATTAATTGACAATTCAATATCTGACAGAGCCCGAGTTTTACAATTTGAAACTAATGTATAATAATAATAATAATAATAATAATAATAAGGCTTAGCGAACCCGAAGGTTCGATGCCGACACCACCAATCGCTTGTTACACACCTCCCTCCACCGTTCGCCGTCCAAACCCAGTCCCTTCAGATCGGCTTTAATGCAATCTTCCCATCTTCGCTTCGGTCTACCCCTCGGACGCTTACCATTCGGCACAGCAAATATTAACCTTTTAGGAATTCTCTCGTTACTAAGCCCAACAACTTTACAAGCCCATTTGATTCGCCGCGATGAAATTACCTCAATTATATTACCCGGATACATCTCACGCAATTCGGCGTTGTGTAACCGTCTGAACTCTCCGGTTAACTCATCTTTTTTCGGTCCGAATATTCTACGCAATACTTTATTTTCAAAAACCTTAAGACGCTGCTCATCCCTTCATGTAAGCGGCCAAGTTTCGCATCCATAAAGAACTGTAGGCTTTATGGATAAAATATTCACTTTAATCTTTATAATTTATGGATAAAATATTCAATAAATGGCTTTATGGATAAAATATTCACTTTAATCTTAACCAGTCGAATCACGGAATACTCCGAGGAAATTATCGGAGACTACCAATGCGGATTTAGACGGAATCGCTCGACTATTGATCAAATATTTTCTTTACGGCAAATATTAGAGAAAAAATTGGAGTATAACGGTATTGTTCACCAGCTGTATATAGATTTTAAAAATGCTTACGATTCTATTGACCGCCAGAAACTGTATAATATTCTAATCGAGCAGGGGATTCCAAAAAAACTAGTAAATCTAGTCAGGATGTGCTTGACGGAGACACTCAATAAAGTTAGAATCGGTAATAATTTGTCTGAAAAATTTGAGGTTCGTTCGGGCTTAAAACAGGGGGATTCTCTTTCGCCTGTCCTGTTCAATTTGGCATTAGAACATGCCATTAGGGAGGTAATGCGAACCGAGAAAGGGTTGGATCTGGGCGGGACAACATCCGTGCTGGGCTTTGCTGATGATCTGGTACTGTTAAGCGAAGACCTTGAAACTATAAAACTAAATACGACAACGTTAATGAAAGCCGGTAAAGAACTACGGCTCGAAATAAACGTGGATAAAACAAAATATATGGTTAGCTGCAAAAATGGCGATACTACTGGTGATATCGATATAGATGGTAATATGTTTGAACAGGTAGATAAATTTAGGTATCTAGGTTCTACGATAACTAGAAAGAACGAAATTGAAGAAGAGATTAAGGTTAGACTGAAGGCGGGAAATGCTTGTTATTTTTCTGTGACAAAACTACTTAGTTCGCGGCTCTTGTCCCGGAACTTAAAAATTAGAATCTATAAAACAATTATCTTACCTACAGTTCTTTATGGATGCGAAACTAATGTATACATATCGGAATTTATTATTTTTGGTATTATTTGATTCTCTTAAAGCATTATTGTTACTGTAATTAGCGTTATGAAAAAAAATATGTCTAATTTTTGAAAATACGGACTAAGAAAAAGATATACTGAACTAGCATTATCCCGGTAGACCAGCTGTAGGATAAAATAATTGATACCAAATATAAACAAAAACTTTGTTTTTAAAATGACTAAAGGATTCAACTGATATCCAATAAGCTCTTACGCAAGGTCTTATTAAGGTAAAACTTTTATTGATAGTTTTATTTACCTTGGCTCTTTCGGAGCACCTAGCAACAGCTAGTCATTTTCTGTAATTCACAGAAGTGTATAAGATTTTCTTAAAGATGGCTAATGCTGCGTTTTCTGGGTTTGTGCTGTTATTTATTTTGAGTTACTGTTCAAGGATAACGCAGGTATTATTTAAATATTTTAAAGTGATATCAAAGCGTTTAATACATTATTTTTATTTTTAATGGTATGGTGTAGGAAATTAGATAGTTTACGTTATATATTACCCGCCTTTTTTTAAATTTAGTATTCCTTACCCACTATTAAATAAACATCGATTGAACACAATTTCCATCTTATCCACATAAAATTTTTATGCTTATACTTTTTATATATCCACATAATATATTCATGCTTATACTTTTTAGATATATTCTTTCACATTTTCAGTCTTATGTGTAGCATACTGTCTTAAACAATTTGTTTCATTGAAAGAACTTCATTAACTTAAATTTTGTTTTAATTCTGACACTTTATCTAAATTTTTAAATATTTGATGGTTGACCATTGTATATTTTAGATATTTGGATTGTATATATTCAATTTTTAAATACTTTATGGTTGACCATGCTATTTTTTAGATTGTATATACTAAAAAAATACAATTTTTCTATAAGGGTTTTAATGCTGGATAAGGGTTATGTTTTTCATTTATATGTTACTTAAACCTTCTAGCAATAAAACACATTTTCAGTCTACTGAGGTACATACTGGCATTAACAGATTCTAAGGGAAATGTTTCAGGATCATGTAGGAGAGCTCTAGCGATTCATTTAATTTAAAATAATCAAAGAACAAAACACTACTGACATTCCTTTAAATCTGAACTTGTCAGCAACATTACAAGTTCTTAGCAATTGGTCCCTTGTACATTCCCCTTGAAACCGCACATTTTCTAAATAATTAACTATGCCAATCATCGTATCTGTATGATAGACAAGTATGTTAGCAACCTGTAAGTATATACAAAACACAATACTCTAAGAGGTATTTAGTTAAGGAGTAATCTTTTTCAAGCCTGTAAGATTTATAACAGATGCTTTAAATATATTTTTACCTATGCATCTCAATTATTCACATTTGGTTATTATAATTCCTAAATTTTCTTAATCTCCAAACCAATTTAAATTATCCCAAACCAATTTTAATTATTGAGTAAGTAGAGGAAATTTTTATAACAGTGATAGCAAACCTCAAGTGCCACAAAAAAGTTCATATTAAATGGGCCAATTTTCAGAAGAAAAGTTGGAAATCCAAGTTATGTGTTTTTTTAAGTGATTCATGTTTTTTTATTGAATCGAAAGCAATAAATAAAAAAATGTTTAATTTATGTAATTAATAATTGCTTCATTGTAAACATGATGAAATTTACTTTAAATGAACTTTTAATTATGTAGTTTACTGTGCAGGTTTGATTTTAAGTTATTGAAACCCTTTGTATTTAATTTCCAAAAATTAAAAAAAAAAATGTCATTTTTGTTTTGAGATCTATTAAGTCAAAACATTTTGATTGTTTTATCTTATTCAAAATTATTACTTTGTTTTGTCCATATAATAGAAAATTTTTGTTATACTATTTACACTAAGCAATCTTTTATTTACTTTTTTTTATTTTTAAGGAAAAAGCAATTAATACTACAACCAGTGTTGAAAATAGTACAAGTGAGATAAGTATACTTATGATGGAATGATGACAACTCTACTATTCATCTATCAGAGGATATATTTGTTAGTATTTTATTTAATAATTAATTTAAATTATAATAAAATGTATTGACTTCTATTTAGTTCACATTTTGATTGTTTATCTTATTTGAAATGTGTATGTTTTCTTATTAAAAAATAATGAATATTGATGGTTTAAAGCATAACACATGTATGCATGTATGTACAAAACACATGTTTTTCAGTACGAGCAAAAACTTTGAATAATAAAAGTTCTTACAGAAGATAATATGTGGAAAATTTAATTGTTTAATTTTAAGTTGGTTATTGATGTTTAGAATATATTTCTAATCTTTATAGTCTGAGAGTTTGTGCAAAAAAATGTATATTATTTAAAGATTTTTTTTTTCTATTATTCATAACATTTATATTTAAAAAATGAGACTCATTCGGATCATGTTACTTGAAAAAAGTGCAGCTGATTTAAATTATATTAGGCCAGTAACTTGAAAATCGAAACAATAAATTTATTTTAAAAATGTGAGAAACATTTTTATTTTTTTATCTTTTGAAAATAAGTTTAAACATGAAAAAACAAAATAGTTAATACGAGCAATCAAGAGAAAACATATTAAGCCAAAAAAGCCATCAGATGTTTTCTATCTTTCTTTTTTTTTTCATCTAGAACTCCTAAACAGTGCATTGGAGTAAAAAACGTACTCTTTATGAAATTGAAGATCATTAAATTTTGCATCAATAAGAACCAAAACTTGATAATTTGGTTTGTACTCTAGAGCAGAGATTTTGAAAATTCCCCATTTAAACCCTATCATATTATTTCAATGAGGATAAAACCTACTTGATGTTAAAAACTATTTGACTATTGGTTTTTCCTCTATGCTCACCTAGTCACTGGATATGTTCCAGATATGTTCTTCTAGGCCTGCCCCGTGGTCTCCTACCAGTTGGCCTCGCTTCCATACATTTCCTTGGTATTCGGTACTTGGTGCTTTTTTCCATTCTACACATGTACTCGTATCATCGAAGTTGCCGGCATTCCATAGTTGCTTTCAGTGAGGGTATCAGGAGTTCCTCTCTTATTATTTCATTCCTCACTCTGTCTCTCCTGTTTTTCCCAAAATTTCATTTAAGCCGTAATCCTGCTTAAGTGTTTGTCTTGGTTGACCCAGCTTTTGCTGCCATATAATAATGTAGGGAGATATACTGCTTTACTGATGTGAAGTTTGACATTCCTTTTCACCTCTCTCTTTTCCACAATTGATTTGCAAATCTGGTAATATATACTGTTTGCTTTTTTTATCCTGTTGGAAACTTCTTGTTCTATTTTCCCAGATTTGTTAAAAATTGTTCCAAGGTAAGTGTAGTAGTCTTCGTTCTCCAGCTCTTCTCCATTGCATGTTGTTCTTATATTTCCCAAATCCCCCTCATCTCTTGCTACAGCCATGACCTTACTCTTGCAGCTGTTGATACTCATTCCTTTATGAGTGATTTCTTCCTGCCATTCTATAATGGCCTGCGGCAGTTTTTCTTGAGAGTTGGTCACCAGTACGATATAGGAACGCCTGCACTTGAACTATTCTCATGTTACATGCCTACTGCAGTCCAAGCAGTTCTTCTTCTGCATATTTTGTGAATTTTGTCCATAAAGGTGATAAACAATAATGGGCTCAAGCTATCTCCTTCACATCGTTCCATCGGAAATTTCTTGGACACTCGGCCACATATACGCACTATTCCTTTGGCGCTTTCATATGTTGATATTATTGCTGCCAGAAGGTCCTTGGGAATAACCTTTCTTCTAAGTGCTCTCCATATTTCACATCGGAGTATTGAGTCGAAGGCAGCTTTCAAGTCTAAGAACGCGATATATATACTTCTATTTCTATCCCATGCCTTTTCTACAATATTTCTTAGAGCAAATATGTGATCTTGCGTTTGCCTCCCTGGTCAGAAACCAGCCTGATCTCCTTCTAATTCTGGTTTTATCAGTGACCTTAACCTGTTCTTTAATATATTGGTGTACATTTTGTAGGTCACTTGGGATAGGCATATAGGCCTGTAGTTGCCACATTCAGTTGTGCTATCTTTCTTATGAATTGGCACTATGATGTTGTATTCCAAGTCCTTTGGAATAACCTTATCATCCCATATCTTCTGAAAAAGTGCTTGTAGTGATTTTATCATATTATTTCCGCCATATTTAATAAATTCTGGGGAAAATGCCATCTCTGCCTCCTGCTATACCTAGCTTCAGTTTTTTCTTATCCAGAGCCCTTTCTATATCATCCTCCCAGATATTGTCATATTCAGCGACTTGATTAGTCTCTTCCTCGTGTTCTTCTGGAAGTTGTCTGAGATCAGATAACTGTGAAGAGTAATGCTGTCTCCATCTATCCAAGATCTTTTCTGGGTCTGTGATCATATGTCCGCTTTCATCTTTTATGTTTCTGATCTCTTTGGATGTGTTTCCATCACTTCTTTATATTTTCCTTATATTCACTGTCCTGGCTTTTTCCGAATTCTTCCCACGACTTTTTCTTGACCTCTCAAATAACACGCTTAGTATCATTCCTCCACTTAACATACTCTTCCCAGTTCTGTGGCGTACGGTTCATCAGGTATGCCTTCCATGCCTTTTTCTTTCTGCGTATTGTTTCTTTGACTTCATCACTCCAACTATTTGTGCGCTTATATCTGGTGCTTATTTTCTTCACTTCACATACTGACCTTGCTGATTCAAATATGCTATCTTTTAGAAACTTCCAGATTTCTTCCACTGTCCCATTATGGTCTAACTATTTCAGTTTAACTTCTTGTATGCCTCATATTCTTGTATTTTCTCCACCGAATCAAGGGCTCTCATGTTAATCTTCTTGTACACTTTGAATGTCATGTTTCTAGGCTTCGTGATCTGTGTGTCTGCGACCAAAAGCATTGATCCATATCTATTTAAACACCTCTGATCACTTTATTATCTGTGAACCAGCGTCTGATATCTTCTTCAAATATAAATTAATCAATAACACTGTTTCTTTCCTGTGCTGAAAAATTTATTCTATGAACCCTCTTATGGAGAAAGAAGGAGTTATGTTACCAATAATTATGTTAATATCAATGCAAAAATCTATCAATCTTTGACCATTTTCATTCTTTGTCTTTTCACCTCCATGATTCCATGCGCATCTCTAAAATTCCATCTGGTCTTTGCATTGAAGTCTCCACAACAGATAATATTCCTATTCATCCTTTTGAATTTGTTTGTTATTCTTTCTAGGTCAGAGTAAAATTGTTCCTTTTCTACCGCAGAGGAGTCTTGAGTTGGAGCATAAATTTGTACCATAGTGATTTTACCCGGAGATAGCTGTAAATCGGCTGTTATTATCCTACAGGAGACCGCCTCTCATTCTTCCATTTTCTTGTGTAATTCTTCCTTAATAACAAAGCCGACTCCTTCTTTAGCATGTTCCGGACTCCTGAATAAATGAGAGTGTAACCCTTAACCAGACTCACTCCTCCAATTCCTTTCCTTTTCACCTCAAGATATACCAAGAATGTCTATCCTGTATTTTATGATCTCCTCCACAACTTCCTTACCCACGATGGTCTTTATATTCCAAGTACCAATTCACAAGTCCTTTTCCCTGCCATGTTGTTTCCGATTTGTCAGTCCAGTTCCGAGGCTTCTTTGACTTCTATGAATCCTTAATACTTCTATGCGGGTGATTGGCCCAGCAGGAAGGTCCTTAGACTCTAGGACAGCAGGTCTGCGAGTGAACTCACCTTGGCCGGCAGAACAACTCTATTATCACCTAGGGTATGTATTGTTATTGTCCTTAATGTCAGTATAAGTATGTAGTGTACTGTTGTGGTGTGAGGTATGTGCGATGTACTGTACTGGGATACGGGGTGTGTAAAACCCCGTTGATTGCGCACAACAATTAGCCCCTGCAGGAACATGTATACAAGTTACCAATAAATTTTCTGTTTGGATCCTCAAGTTACTGGCCTAATATTCTTCAAATCAGCCACCATTTTTTCAGGTAAGATCTTCCGATTGGCAGACTCTCATTTTCTTTAGATATCAATTTTTTTTTTTTTTTTACTGGCTCTTGGACTATTATAAATTTGTATTTATTCTAAGATTATATCTAGTTTCTTTATTTAAAAAAAAAGTGGAATTAAAATAGTTCTGTTTTTATCTATTGATATATTCATTAAGCTTATTACTTAAACCAAATGACGTTTTATTTACAACTGTTTATTTTATATATATATATATATATATATATATATATTTTTTTTTTTAAGGGAAAAGCGTTCAACACAGCGATAAATGTAAAAAATAAAATTATTCAGATTGGAACACCTGTCAAAAATAAAATTATTGAGATTGGAACACCTATTAAAAATAAAATAATTGAAATCGGTACACCAATTGTGGATAATATCCATAACTCAACTTCATCTCAAATACCTTTTGTACCAGATCATATAGTTGTGAGTATTTCTTAAATATTTATTCTAAATTTATATAGTCTAGTATTAGAAATTATTCAAATAGAAAAATAATTTATTTTATTTACTAATATTTTCTGATGAACTCTCTAAGTATCAGAGAAATAGGTTATTTATAGGATCCAATTATTTTTGTGTAGTTTAATATGATTTCATTGATCTTGAAAATGAATTGTCAATTGAAAATGGTGCAGCACGAATCCCTGGAGGATAAAAACTGAAGTTCAAGAAAATTAATATTTTTTTCATTAGCTTTTCGGTGGATGCCTTCTATTCACACAGTTCTCTTTTTTTTTTAAAATGTCATATATCTGTGTTTTCCAATTTAAATGGAAGAACTGAATTGCTATTACTAAGTTTTTCATATACACTCATTAATTACGTCAATTATTTCTTAGAAAGTTTGCCGAAAGCAAATTGTAATTTAAGAAGTATGAAATGAAGATTATCATTTTTATTGCTCTGATAAGGGGGATCTTATTTTTTTTCTCTTACATATTTTGACGCTAAATTTAAGTCAGTACTTCAAAAAGTACCACAGCTTATTTTCCTTAAATTACCTTAACAAGACAACTATGAATATCAAAATCTAATATCTCATTTCACTCATGCGTAAACTCATTATTATTGGTTAAATATTATGGGCTATATATATGGAAGTTCCTTAGGAAGGAAAACAATCTTCAGTTTTGTTATTTCTTAATTTACTTTACATATTTATATTTAGTTTACTTTTTATTCAACAATTCAGTAGGTTAATATTTCTATATTTATATTTTATTTTCATATACTTTGTAACCTTCCAGGAGCGATAACCTTCCTCTGGCAACAAGTAGGTTGTTCCTGAACTCAGGATAAATTGCTGTCCATCGGTGCTGGATTCAATAGATTGTTGGATTCCTTCGGTGGATTTAGCACTGAGTTTAGAAACTTATCAAATTATTAAACATTATGATTATTGGTAATTTCTAATTTTTAAAATATTTTTAGGACTCTTTGCCAACGTGGGCCTGGATTGTCGTTGGGATCACGTTGGCCTTGGTGATCTGCTGCTGCTGCTGCTGCCCTCAGGCTCTTGGTCAAATATTGGGTTTTCCTTTCTATTGTGCCTTCAAAATCATCTCATTGATTTTTCAGTCAATCTTCTCACTTTTTCGGTCAATCTTCGCATGTTTTATTAAATTGCCGTTGCATTGCTTAAGTTGCCTAGGATTTGATAAAATTGGGGTCAGGGCCGCTTCCTTTGCCTCAGGATTCCAGTCTATGTTTTACAAAGGTAACACCCCTTCGGGGACTTATTTTTCTGACTTCCAATCTTACAGTATGAAATGAAATTTTGAAATGTGGTTATTACTTTGAATCAATAAAAATATTTTTATTGCACTTAAAAAAAAAAAAAAATAAAATTTGACTTGCATTACTATTTTTATTAAATGTATAATTTTATAATGCTTCACTCGATAAGATGAATAATATGTAGATTTTAATAAATTGATATTTAAGTTTCTAAAAAGTTTTCAAACGAATTTTTTTAAATTATTTCAAGCCAACATCCATGTTAGGTAAATACAATCCTGTAAAATTTACTGGAACAAAAATGGATTAATTTGAAATATTTCTAAATGACTAACATTTAACAAGAATTTATCTATTTATTAATATGGCTTTCGCATCTTGTTATAAGAATCAGGTAAGTTCATAGCTCAAATGAAATTTTTTTTTGTAGCCAGATAGTTGATGAAATCGAATGTACAAGGAAATTATTATTTTAAAAATATTTCTCATGATGAAGTTTCATTACAAACTTGGTGTTATTTGGAGAGTAAATTTGAATTAAATGTGATAACGGTTTATATTAACTTGTAGCTCAAAGGAAAAGAGAAAATCCAAGGAATTAAAAGTGCAGAATACTTATTGTAACCCCTGTTTTTGCACTAACACTAATATTCGATCACAGTAAAAGATTAAGCCTGTACCACGGACTATATATATTCAGTTAATTATCCGTGCGAATGGTTGAAATGTTCATGCTCAAAATAGAAACTTTTACTTGAATTTCAACTGTGAACTTTGTACTTCAACGAGTTATCTATTACATAGCTGAGTTAATATGACAAAAATAGAGCGTAGATAAAAGAAGCAACCTTAACTGAAGAGAACGGTCACTCATCTCAATATCTTTTAGATTCTCTAATATACAGGTTGTTTCAGGGTTAAGAACTTAAAATATACAGTAACGATCTCAAAACAAGAAAAAAATTACTTATGAAGGTAAGAAAGAAACGTAAATTTTATCTTGGAATATTTAGTCCTTTCAGAATAAGTACAATGAACAGAAAAGCTACTTACATTAGAAATCAATAGATAAATAATTAATTAACATAATTGGTTAGATAATCATGTTAATAAACTAAATTATAAATAACACAGCACAATTAAACCAATTACATTGTAGATAAATATACTTGATTGTACAAATAGGCAATATAGATAATATCTATATGATAATATGTATGGTATATATGTATCTGCAGGATACCAGTAGAATGTGAGTGACAGCTCTTAAATACAAAAAATGTATTCTGTTCGGAAGATACATTGATGAGGAGGTGGGAAAATAAATGGTGTTTAAATGAGGTTAAGGAAGAGGATTAGCGTATGGAGGTGGGTAAGACGATAAGATGGTTTTTGGTTGTAAAGGTTCGGAAGAGGAATACACCTAGGAAGTTTTGCCGCCGGAAGATTGGATAGAGCCACTTCAACTCGGCATAGCAACTGGAGACGTGGGAGCGCCTGGGGACTACAAAGATGAATTTAATGAAACAATTCATTAATCTCTTCAATCTGATCTCCAGTCCACCGTATACAAGGCAGCCATAATCGGAATGGAGGAAAATGAGAGAGGAAACTAGGAGCTGACGGGTTTTAAGGGGCATAGAGTCAGGGAATCTCAGAGTTTTAAGGTAGCAATAGATTTTTGGATAATTTGGGAAACATGATTATTCCAGGAAAGTTATTGATCGAAAACTACTCCTAAATTTCTAACAGAAGTATGGAAGTGAATAGGTAGTCCATTGGGATAGAGTAGAGGATAAAAAGGGATGGAATTTAGAAGATGCTTGGACCCATTGAGAATAGCTTTGGTCTTCTCAACGTTCAACTCGCTGTCCATGCCTTGATGCTGTCTATATCTTCTTGTAGTCCTTGTATTGCTTCAAGCATCTCGGTCAGATGAAAGGGTAGCTATATTTAGATATGTAGCTTAGGTAACGCTTAGGATATATTCACTTCTAAATGTTTTCTTTGTTATGAATTATTTTGGATATAATTAATAAAGGATATATGTTCTAACTACTTCAATGTAAACACGTTCAATGTAAACACGTTATCTTAACACGTTAAATGTAAACACGTTACCTTAGGTAACGCTTAGGATATATTCACTTCTAAATGTTTTCTTTGTTATGAATTATTTTGGATATAATTAATAAAGGATATATGTTCCAACTACTTCAATGTAAACACTGTACATTTATATTTAACATTGTCAAATCTGATTTTCTTGAGCATTAAGATAAGAAGCAGGGCATCTTTCTTACACAGCAGCAGTGGCCGAACGGCATTGGATGTCTGTTATTGTTTTGCAAGTTTCTAATACCCTTCTTCATAAAGAATTAAGATCACAGGCCGAACTTGCATAGATATTTTGTTTAATCTCACCCAAAACAAAAAACTAAGGTGTGTGCTTTCTACCACACGATAGAAGTGAAAATATCAACAAGGCGAGATTAATAATATGAAATATAAATTATAAATAATTGCTCATTATAAAGATAATAAATTTTTTGGTTTGACCCATTTTATGTTAAACAATATAGATCAGGCTACCCTGCCATCAGGCACTAGCGGATCCTGGATTTAATTTTGGGGAGGCTTCAGCCCGAAGGATTTTTTTTCATATACATATAACGATAATTAATTTGAAAAAGGAAAAGAAAGAAACTAACTACCCATATGACATGGTGTCTTAGTTATTCTTGAAGTCCTATTAAATGTAATCACACGAACAATAATAATTTAAGAGATAGTTTTTAATATTTTTTTGTATAAAAAATGGTTATATTTTACCATTTTGGGGGGCTTCAGCCCGAAAGCCACCTTCCCTTCCGTAGATCCGCCTGTACCATTAGGTTTTAGTGAAATAGTAAGTTTTGGATAAATCTTATTTTGACTATAAAGATAGAATGTATTCACTAATTTTGGTTTTAAAAACAAGATAAGTTCGTACATACTAGGTTAATTAAATAATTGGAACAAACCATTATATGACAGTTTCTACTTAATGATAGAAACAGAAATAGCACTAGACCCCTACATACTCGGGCAAGCCACCAAGACCACTCCCATGTATTGTATCTATATTTCAATGATTTTATGAATATTTACTGAAAATAATAAAACAGTACAATTATGTATAAAAAAAAACTATTGTTTATATTTTTTTATGAATTAGGGTAAACGCACCAGTGATGGATCTAGCTAAGAAAATTTTTGTCTTTTTTGGCATATGACGCCGTAATTGTATCGTTATAAACTTCTCTGTTGGACATTTAGAATCTTTAAGGTCTCCTTTTTCTACTTAACGCTTTCAAATTTAAAAAATATTAATTATTTAGGTATAATCTGCATTTAAAAAAAAATACCTTTTTGCACAAGAAATGGGCAGTTCTCTACATCCTTTTCACAGCTGACATTCCAACCCACCCTAATACCCTTCTAGCAACATTTGCTGACGATACCCCCATCCTAACTTCCCACCCAGATCCTGAAACAGCATCCCTAAACCTACAAAGACACATCTCCCTAATAGAGCAATGGTGCAACAATTGGCGCATCAAGATCAATGAATCCAAATGCAAGCATGTCACTTTTACCCTCCGACGCAGATCCTGTCCACATATCCTTTTCAACTCAGTACCTCTTCCCATCTCAGACACAGTTCGGTATCTTGGATTCCTTTTAGACAAAAGACTAACTTGGAACCCACATACCAGACTTAAAAGACAAGAGCTTAACCGACGACTTGGCCAGTTATACAGACTACTTAACAGAAAATCTAACCTCTCAATTGAAAACAAACTATTAATATACTGAAGACCATACTGAAACCCATCTGGACCTACAGACTTGAACTGTGGGGGACAACTAAATTTTCGAACATCAAACGCATCCAATCCTTCCTAAAGTCCTCCGTATAATAGTCAATGCTCCTTATTATGTTACGAACAAAACCTTATATCATGACCTTAACATCCCTTATGTCCTTGACGTTATTCCATCCCGATTTTCAAATTTTCATCAGAACCTAATCCATCATCCTAATCCCTTAGCACAATCCTTATCCAGTTCCAGTCATCCCTACAATCCTCCTCGAAAGTTGAAGCTGCAGTGGCCTCGAGATCTTTTGTAAAGACGTCATTGGAGTTCTGGCGATGGCCAGCTTCTCCACTCAAGTCATGAGCGTATGTGGCTTTAGTGCCCTCTCTCAGTCTCCATTGGATTCCCATCCTAGTGATGCGGCTGAGAGAGAAGCGCTGGGATCTCTTGGAGTCTTGCCTTATCCTCCACACGTGGGGGAAAAGGCCCGACTCGGAGCTCCCTCGGCTGACTGTAAATATTGTAAATAAGTATGAATGTGTTTTTATTTATTTATTTTTCTTTATTTAATGTTGTATCATGTTTGATTTATTCTGTTACTCCAAGTTTTATTTTATTTTATTTTGTTATTATCTTGTTTTTAGGCCTTCAAATAGGACTTCAAGAATCACTAATACACAGTTTCATATAGTTTCTTCCAAAGTAATTATCGTTAGATAAATAAAAATATGGTGCGTGCAACACACAACTTTCACTTACCTTTCTACTTTGTATAGAAATTATTTTCTGGCAATGTTGAGAAATTATAAAATTTTTGAAGTGCACTTTTAATGGAGCTACAGCCTTAAGCTTACATCTAACAAATAATTAAGACCACTAAAATAACAAAAACCCTATTAATTATATCAACGGCAGACAATAAAGACTTCGGTACCCCGTCTTTTTTTGTAAACCACATAACTGCAGTCTCTGAGTAATATATACATATATGCCTAGAGAGATTTGAAAATATATCTCTATATTCAACCTATAAATGATTATGGATTCAACACCTATTAGTTATTAAACTGTTATTTTCCATTGTAAAGTTTACTATAAAGAAATTACGAGATTTTCATTGTCTGACAAATTATTAAACTAAAGCAAATGCATTTTAGGTTAGAAACATAAGCTTTATACATCCATGAAATATTTTTATATTTCTCTTCTTTCACATTAGTACTAAGAAATAGTTTTTTAAACAATGAAATTGCATTGATTAGGTGGATTTTAAATACCTTTTTCAAACTTAAAAAAAGTTTACATTTAGTTAGTAAATTTCATTTAATTTCCTTGAAAATATGCGA